TAAGGGTGGCATAGGCCATGAGGCTGTGCGTGAAACTGGGGATGCAAATAGAATGCACTGCTAACAAAAATATAAGCTGAGAACGTAAACAATAACGAGCGAAAAAAAGACAAAAAAGTATGGAATCAAAAACGAGAGTTTGCGATCGTGTATCCTCTCGAATGATCTCGAATACAAAGTGTCCTCTGTTCGATTGCAATAGTATCCAACGACGTAAGGAAAGGCAAATAGTTGAACATATAAAAGGACGAAAAAAAAGAAGAGAGAGAAAGAGAGAGAGAGAGAGAGAAAAAAAGAAAAAAAAATAACAGGAAAGAATTAACATAGATCGGAATGAAAAGATGCGTAAACGAGATCACGCAGCTCCGAGACGACATCGACCAACATCGAAAAGTGTGTAAGTACAACGTTTTCACGTCCGCTGGCTAAAATTTAATTAAAATATTCGTCACTCGTTCACCACGATCGTGTCCGTTCTCGCTCTGATTGCAGGCGCACCGATCCACCCCACAATACGACTAGAACCCCATGGCCTACTCTTTTCTTTTTCCTTTTTCCTTTTTTTCTTTAATCCTTGATCACACGGAGAAGCTTTCTAACCAATCTTCTACTCAAGAGGCACGGGTCTGACTCGTGCGATCCCAATCTACTTTGCTCTCGGAACAAAGTGAAGAGGTACGGCTGTTTCCCCTACAATTCCCGTATTCCATGGCCTTCCTCCACAGGGCACGCGACATAATACGCTACTGGCCGATACGATCCTCGTCAGTTGTCAGGGAATTTAACAACTTACCGGTGATGTTGTCGCAAAGTATCCGCGACGTGATGATTCGGCCGTACGGGCTGAATAGATTCTCCAGATCTTGTTGCGTCATGTTCTTCGGCAAACCGCTCACGTACAAGTTTGCGCCTTTGATCGCCTCGCTGCTCGGTCTCGCGTACGATACCTGTGTTCAAGGTATAATAATGGTTAATTGGGACAGATAATCGAGAAATTTCACTACTGTTTGCAACTTTCTTCTTCCGATTTTTTTGATTTTTCTTTTTCTTTTCTTCTTTTTCAGATCAATTCGTGATGGCACATTTTCAACGATTTAAAAGATGGTAAGTTGATTCTCTTCTTTTCTTCGAAGAGACATATATATATATATATATTATAACATCGCAACGTTCATAAAAATGTGAGGAAGAATTTTGACTGTTCTCGTACAGTTAATAAATAGCAGATGCGATAATGTCTTTGAATTCACGCCAATCTATTTCGATCATTGCAACACTGTGGCGTATCGTGCGTAATCTCGCTTGAGAGACATTTTCTGAAAATTCTTGTCGATAAAACCGATTCGAAAGCGTATCACTCCGTAAACAAAAGCGAATAGAATCTATACGAATAGAATCTTTTCGCAAGATTTGTTCCCGATATTTTTGTTCCCGAGTCACGACCAATTTGTTTTTAACTATTGTAAATATTTTAACCATAACAAACTATGCGCGAAATCTAAGAATATATATATATATATAACGAAAAGCTAGAAGTTAATCCAAGATTAAATTTATAAAAGTATCGCGTGTTTTACTTATAAATAGCTGACAGAGATCATTACGAACTTTTGACTCGAATCTTTCATGAAAACTCTAGATATCGTGCTTGCTCGCTCGCTCGCGCGCGCGCGCGTGCGATTCAGTATTTACTTCCAAATGCTAATCTAGAAGGATCCTTATAAATAGATAGTTCACTATGTTCATCCAACTAGGGAGAACGAACCTTGATCGTTTTATTTTGCAGACGAAGACCGTTGAGCGTGTTTATCGCCTTCTCAGCATCCTCAGGCCGGTGATAGTTAACGAAACCATAACCTAAACTCTGACCTGTAACACAAAAGAATACCGTTGAATTAAACCATCTTTAAAAAAAAAAAAAAAAAAAAAAAAAAAAAAAGAAAAAAAGAGAAAAAAAGAATCTCCTGTTAAACCGATATTTCCATAAATAATAATAAGTGGTACAAAGGGACGAAAGGGACGATAGGGGCTCGAGAGAGACAAAGAGAGAGAGAGAGAAAAAATTCACAAACGATAAATGTCTCTCTGAACGTGTTCGTTCATTGAGTAAACAGATACAACGACAGCGGCGAGTGTTTTTCGAAAACAGGAAACGCAGACGGTGCAATACGGCCCTGAGATCGCGCGGCGAGGTCGAATATAAAGCGGCAGAGGCTCAAACCAAACGACGCCCCCGCTACTCCGACGCTCGAAATAGCGTCGCGACGTCCACGCACGTGCTCTCCACTAACGCACGGAATTCAGAGGCGCGAGTACGCCAGCCCGAAATTACGCTGGATTACGCGCACACGAATGGTCACTCGACATGGGGAGAAAAAAATCCCTCAACGAAGAAGATGACGGGAACGCAACGTTGCGTAATCGTTCCCCCTCCTCCCCTCCCCCAATCTTCCACACTGGTCCGTGAGTAATCGAAAAATCGATGATGAAAAACGCGTTGCGTATCTCTCCCCCTTTTTCTTCGTTCCGAACGAGACCGAGTTAAGGAAAAAAATTCTTTTCGATGGAGTGTCTCGCGCGTGATTTTTCACGCGCGTCTCGACATCGCGATAAGAATGGACGCAAGTAGAAAAATGATAACATTGACGAGCGTGTCTACGAATTATTCAATTTTCGCTTCTCATTTTTCCTCTTCTGCCTGCCCCCTGACTTTGTATCTTTAACAGATTCTATTTGGTTTCCAAAGATTCTCTATCTCTTTCTATCCCCCTCAAATAAGGCTGATACAAAATAAACAGGCGCAGACGAATCGATGCCGACTACTCAACCAAGACTAAACACCCGTTCCTCGGTAACGTCTAGAAATCGATAAACAAATGAACTGTGTAGAAAGACTTATTCTTTCGTTCTACACCTGTCCGTGTATTTAACTGTAATAACAGGTTTCCATGAAAATTACCACAACAATACAACGCTATCTCGCTTATTCGGTCAAACACGAAAGAAACGTTCCTCGGTCTTCGTGATAATTATTGTTTAGCTTCTAGCCATGATAATGAATGAAGAGGACGATGAGTTCGACTTACCGGTGAGTTTATCACGAATCAACTTGCAACTCTCAACCTCGCCAATGCTCGAGAAGAGGGATCGAATCTCATCTTGTGTCATGCTCTGGGGCAAATAATTTACTATGAGATTCGTTTTCGACTCTTCCTGCGAGGCCTGTCCGAGGGTGGATCCACCATTTTGTTGTACGACTGTGTCCATTCCGTTCGCCATCATTGCACTCTTCGACCGGGTCCTTTCTAACTACGTACGAAATCTGAAACAAGAAAGTATCATTTTAGTATCGAGTAACGAACAACCGATATCTTTTAACCTCTATCTTGTTAAGAATAATTTCGTCTTCTATTTTTTTTTTTTTTTTTTTTTCGATCGACAATACCTCCTTCTAAATCTTTTTTTATTAATGGGTGGCAATCGATCACCCAGTTGTTCGTTCATTGTAAAAGGAAAGAAGAGAGATTAACTGGAAACGCAAGGAACAACGACGCTCAAAACCATTCTCAACTTTCTTCAAATATTTTTTTCAAATTATAATATATTCCTGTTTCTCGATTCAATGATTCGTAACTCCTTTTCATAATTACTTTTTTTCGAGGGAATAAATATTCAAATGATAAGAAAATTTCAGATTGTTAAAGATTCTTAAGATTCTTAAGACGCGAACGACGCGTTATTTATCGAAACAATCGCTCGACGAGAATATATAGAAGAATATATAGGAAGTAACAGACAAGTATAAACACGGGCCAAGCAAGAACTTCTGTGTCGACAGGGTTTTGAAGGACGTAAAAACGTGTTAATCAACACGTCGTACACGATGCACATGTTCACAGAGAACACAAGTTCGAAAAGAAAATCAGTTTTTGCTTATATCTGTATAAATATTCGCGTGGCAACAACAAGTATAGTTTTTGCCAGAGAAAACAAAATATTCTAATTAGATATATTTCGTAACGTTCTGAATTATTTAAACACCTATTTCGCCCATATTGGAGAACTTTTTATAATTTCAAAAAGATTTTGTTTCGTTACGTTTGAACGATGAAGATCATTATCTATCTCATACATTAAATTACAAGCAGCTGGACTCAAACAAGACGCGTGGCTTGATTATGGACGACTTGCGAAAAATTCATGGTTCACGCAACTGGATGCTGACGTAATCTGACAATGACTTTCAAAATACAGCGTGAAAAGAACAGGCGGAGGTGGTAGTTGGTAGGGAACGAGGGTAAGATCCAATAGAAACGCGGATTTAAAGGGGCGACGACCCCCCCTTTCTGGTTTAAAGAGCTCGCCTCCCTCGTGCCTCTTCCCTTTTCCTTTCTGGCAAAACCACCGTGTTCGATACGTTTACAGGGTGTTCAATATCGATCGTACTTTATATCACTTTACATTCTCCTTAAAAATTTTCCAAATTTTTCTTTCCTCTCCAAGATACGATATTTTTTTTATTACCTAACATAACTCACTTCAAAAACGAATTCTAATCGAATTAGATACGCAGCAACGTCAGAGGCGTCAATTTCTAATTTTTTTCTCTGCTGGAGTTCACAGTTGCTGGTAGTTTCAATCGATTAAAAAAAGAGGATCTAAATTTCGAGACCTCACGATATATCTATTAATCTTTATGTTGTGCGTGGAAGAAATTGAACAATTTTATTCGAGACACCCGGTATGTGGTCGCACACGCCTCGAGCGAAAGGGACGAAAACCGAGCAAAATAGGAGAAGGAGAAGAAAAGAGAAGAGAGAAAGGGGAATTATACGCGATGGCCGTAGGGTGCCGATAGCGTTCATGGTTAAGGCTTATACACACAGCTGCCACGACACATATATCAAGCAGGCACGAGCTACCACTGGTGTACATTTTAATTCTCTCTTTCCCCTTCCGCCTCCTCGTCAGTTGTTCAACGTAGTCATCAGCTGTCCTTAGGACCACCCCACACGGGGAGCCTTCGAGTTTCATGACTGCGGTCACCCCAATCGAACTGACCACGTCCTCTCTTGAGATACCTTTTATTACACGCGATAGATAGCTTTTATTATATGCATCGAATGTGCCGGGGCCCATGTGATACGAAACGTGGGGAAATAAACGTGGGACAATGAACAACTATAAATTTTTTACATTAAGCTCCTTTTATATCCTATCTTCCCTAAAAGTTTTAACATATTACTATTATTATTTTTATTACTAAAGAAGAATATATCGAAATGGACGAATCTTACAGAAGAATCTTAATGGATGTATGCCACGAGATCTATCCCTCTTATATTTATATTATATCTATATTATAATCTATTATATTGATAATTTCGCGTTGAAAACGAATTTCGCACAAATGTAACAAGATCGGACTCTCGTCGACGGGAAAAATGCCGACGCTATTTTTCATCAACGAATTTTCATCACCGTTCGCCCGGTGTTTACGAACGAGGCGAAGAAAACAGGAACGCGTTCAGCAGTCGGAGAAAATGTCGGAGCCAGCAGTTATCGTAGCCCCGCATCTTCCGTAGTTATCGATCCATGCTCTCTCCCTGTCTCTCTTACACTCTCTGCTCGGCATCGCGATATTTTAGGACGGCACAATGGAAGCCGAGAGACCCCATTGTCGGGCGAGGAGAGTAACGCATCGGAAAAGTATCGTTCGCCGTTGACTTCGAAACGCGACTCCTGTGCTACCGTCATTATACAACGACAATGGACGTTACGCATGGCTGCGTGTACGCGCAAACTGGGGTTATCCGCGACACAATGCGGAAAGCCACCCCTTTTCGCCAGACCCGGGGTTCGCAAAAGTCGACCATCTTCCGGGGAATCGCGCCGCGACAAACAACTTTCAACGTTATGTTACGCACTTTCCACTTTGATTTTAATCGCTTTCGAAACAATTTAAATTTACGTCCAATATTCCGAAAATAAAAGAAACTCGAAAGATTTCCATACTGTTATACGAGTAAATTTCGAGTGGTTATACGAGTATATTATGAACGAGATATGAAAATATTATTAATGTATCTAGAATATAATGTAACGTAACGTAGAACGAAACGAAAAAAAAATTACGACGAGATTGAAATATATTCCTCGTTTCGGGTAAAAAAAAAGATAATTAAAGATTTTTTTAAAGAGAATATAAATTTGCAAGGAAGGTTAGCAGGTGGGTCAAGCCGGGGGTTAAAGTTTGATTTTTACGTACGGTTGGCAGATACGATCTTCGGCCGGTGGCCAGGTGGCCATGGCGACGGATCGTGAAAATCGCGTGGCCGGGACCGATCAATACGAGCGCGACTCCTCGGTCTCTGCCTCGCTCGTTCTCCCCTACCACCCCTTCTCTCGCTCATTCTCGCTCGCTCGTGTCCAGGAGCTCTCTCACTCTCTCTTTCTCTCTCTCCCTCTTTCTCTCGTTTCTCCGTTGCGCACACGAGACCTCTTCCTCTGGCTACAATTCCAAGGGAATCCCCTCCTCCCGCGCCCCTCAAGTACGCCCCTTTCCGCGCGAGAAAACACACACGCACGTACACGCGACACGCGAAAACGCAGTAAGTCGTTTCTGTTATCGAAAAGAAATAGCAAAGCGGCGTAGTAGAGGAGAAAGGGGTACAAAAGAGGCTTGCTCGAAGGCAAGTGGCAGTCGGAGCGGAGGTGGGAGTGGAGAAGGGGAAGGGTGGCGTGGAAAAAGAAAGACTACGACGAAAGCACGCAGGAAGCAAAGGGTGAGAATGAGAATGTGTCACGAAACTCGCAAGGCACGTGCTCTGAAACCTCCTTGAAGGACGTACTGCTCCGCGCACAACATCTGTGTGTATATCTTCGACCGAAATGTTTTTGCGACTCAATTCGAGCTTACCTTTCTTCCACTGTCTTTACAGGATCCACCTTTTTATCGATGCACGCGAGAGCACACGACACACATCCACACAATAAACACAGAGAACACCTTTTTTTTCTTTCTCCTTCCGCGAGACGCGACACACTCTCTCTTCCCGTACTTCTTTTCTCTCCCTCTCTCGACGTTACTTTTCCTTTCTTTCCTTCCGAAAACTCTTTTCGGTCGCACGCGAAACCGAGCAACGTGCAACTATTAAACGACTGGTCGATGAATCGTGCCGGTCCCTGCTCTTCTCTCTGACTCTCTCTTTACGTGCACCTACTATCACGCTCTCGCACCGCCGCCCGGAACAGAAGGGGAAATCAATGAAAGAAAAGTACGACGCGAGCGCTCGTAAATCGGCATTTATGCTCGCCTCCTGGTCGACAGTCCTTTGGTTTCACTTTGACGAGCACATGTGTGAGTGTACGTGTAAATGTACGAGCGGCGAGCCGAAAATTATTCACGTCCGATATCGTCGAAAAACGAGATCACCAAATTTCGTCGATCGTCGTCGAAAACGAAAACGAGGGAGTACATACAGTGTGTGTAATGTGTATGTATATGTGTGTGTGTGTGAGCGCGCGGATTTAAAGAATAGAATGCAATATACGCGTATATGTATATATATATGTATATATATATATATATGTGTGTGAATGTGTAGAGGGTTACGCGAGACTAGAAATTAAAGCGTTAAACACTATACTAAGGAAACGGAAATAACGATATAACACGGGCGGAGGCTGCCTAGAGACTGGACACACCCGCCGCTTGAAAGCGGCTTGCACAGCCCGACGAGCTCGATCGGCCGAAGTCGGCCTAGCTCGGGCGCAGTCGCGCACCCTCGGCTAAGCTCGTTGCCAACCCACTGCAAACCCCTCGTTATTACGTATCTCCTCCTACCAACTCGCACGTATGTACTCGTATGCTGCGAGGGGTTGCCGATCGAACTAATAAGAGACGTATGCGCGTTCTTAAATAAACTGTGACCTCCCATCGTCGATCGAACTGGCTCCCTTGCCCTCCCCCCCTCCTCTTCATCCTTTTCCCCTTTGTCGAATTTTAATAAATTTCGAATCTCCACATTATATTTTATCCCAGAATTTTAAATTTTTCCCCTTTTACTTCCTCGTATCCTCGCAATTGTTACAATTTAATAAAGGTTTGGGTAACGAGTCCGCGATTTTTTTATTTATTCCGGTGTTAAAACGATTAAAAAAAAAAATAACACCTGTCATTTTGTTTAAATTGCATCCAGTTAACAAGAGGGCTGACAACCTAGGGGCCGTTCACGCGCAATATTTCAGTATCCCCCTCAAGATATTTGCAGGGGTTTGTTCGTTAGGAAATGTTTGCAACATGGCTCCCTGGCATTACGAGGCAGAAGGTATGCCGCCCTCTTGCCTCCCTCTCGCCGCTTGCATCACCCCTTGCATCAGATCATGACCACCCCTTCACGGTTTTTGACCCCCGTCGTCTCAGCGCGCTATCGCGTCGATACAAGAGTCCTTTTACCCCTTACGAGGCCGCACTCGATCGGTAGTGAACTCGAAACCATGAATTACATCGTCAAAACTTATTGGTGGCCATTTGCCAAAGACCATGAAATTGAATTTTTCTTGAAGAGAAAAAAATACACGAGTCGCGAGAGTTGTCAAAGTCCAAAGATGAAAAATCAAGGAGGATGATGAACTCGTCTGAATCTATCTCATTTCAATCGTTCTCCTTCGATTTATGCATCGTTTCTTCCTACAACGCACGTTTCTGCTAGATCTGTTGAATATTTAGTGAAGTTTTGAACGCAAATTTCATTTCAATTTCGCTATTGTGTGGATAATTCGAATTATTTTCCAAGAAAAAAAAAAAAAGATGTGAACATCCAAGCTGCATCCCTGACCTTACCCTGGCTTTATCTTCGAAGATCGAGAGAATGCAGTCTCTAAAATGACGGCGAGCCAAAATTATGCGATGCTGACGAAACAAGCCGAGCAACACTTGGCGGTCGTGCCAATAACCGCGAGTTCGTGTTTTCGGAAATTCGTTTCCCTTCTATTACATCATCATACAGAATGAACTATTTTGTCAGAACTTCCTGAAGAACTCGATTCTATAATGTACCTTCACTTTAAAATTCGCCTAATTAAATATTATAATCGCCTAATTAAAACTTTAGAACACAGAGTACGATGAATTCTCGATAATTTGTTATTCCTTTTTAAAAAGATACAGAGAAATCATTGTCACTTATCGATTCAAAACCACGAATACATATCATTAAAATTATAAATACGTTCACGTATAAACACCATAAATACGAAGAAATCTGTCTCATCATCCATCCAATCTGATTTCATAGATCCAAGTGAATTATATAATTTGTACTTCGCTGATTCTATATTTCTTATTCTAATCGAACAAAAAAAAAAAAATAAATCTTCTAGCATATATGCTAATCCTCATAATCAAAGGAACGATCTTTTCGATTGACTTCCTGCTTTTGTTAGACATGAACGATTGACCAGGTTCTTTGCGTATTACGTACATGACCGGACCTAACATCGGCCAAAGAAAGAGAAGGAGGGAGCAAGCCTGTATTGTATCTAGCCGCATGAGAAAAAAGGGAACGAAACTGGGCACAGGACTTGCAACAGATGCGAAACGGTATGCAAAAAAAAAAAAAAGGAAAAAAAATAGGGACACAGTGGACGCATATGTGAACGTGTTCCATTATGCTCGGTGGCTTTAAAACCGGCCACACGGTGCGACAGGAAGTTGTCACCGCATTACCGTTGGAATTATGAAAGTTTGCCGGCCTCTGATCGCCTTAGCGACAACGAACGAGCGAAACGATATTCAGACCATCGAACCGAAAGGGAAATTTATTCGAAATCATTCTAATCGCTTCTCCGACCATCCATACGTGAATCAATCCTCCGTAATTTTGACTAAGAGGTATATATTTTTCGAACATTTAGATGCAGAGAATGGCCAGAGGATGCCAACGAGAATGATGATTTACCATTTTCCGGTATATCGGATCAAAGCCGTGAAGAGACATAAATTGTGAATCATTCGTCGAGACTACAAAACCGTAGTACCGAACCAACCCTCCTCTTTCGTTCCTGGTTATGATCCAGCTGTCGAAGCAACGTTTTTGGGGTTTGGCCCCACCTTCATCATCGATCCGCCGGTACGCTCGTGCACGAGCATAATTCCACCCATACTCTGCCACAGGGAGAGTAATAATTCTGTCCGTGAAGTTTTTCCAGGGTCACTGAACCCCTTGACGAGATTCGTCGATAATCTATCCGACTATCCTATCGATATTCTCACGAATCCTATTAATGGCTCGAGGCGTGACAAAAACGAGCTGGAATGGAACTAACAGGAAGATCAATGGCAAACTTGGTTAGTGAAAATAGCTCCCTAAATATCCAAGTATAAAATATGCAAGGGGATAAATAATTATAAGGGGCGTATAAAATAATTTCTATCCTAGGAGGAAACCTTCGATGAGATCAATTGGATATGTATTTCGTTAGAAAATAGTATGGTTGGAAATAGTATGGATGATAATTTTAACAAACATTTGCGCAAAATGGACGAAACCCTCTAACCCCACCTAGGAAATATAACGAAGATCGATCAAACGCGCATCGTCGTGCTAATTAAGGTGCAACCGATCGATTTGTTTTTTCCTTGTAGCAACTCTTCTTCACTTTTTTGCCTGTTTTCTCGTAAATAAATATGCATCGATTCATGATCGTCCCTCTCTCGTCAGGCAATGATCGCATCACTAAATATTCAGGGAAACCTTACGACGTCTTCTCGAAGTCCACAAAAGGTGATTACGTAAAGTAAACATAAATGTGGAAAGAAAAGAAACGGTTGGTTCAGTCGTGATGAAATATTCCACGTAATGAAATAATATCATGAGTTTGACGAGTTGCATTCTGAACTGAAATGGAAATTTCAATCTATCGAAATTATGAATTCATCACCGAATTGAACTTCGATAACCGATACGCATGATTGACAGAGAGAAAGGAAAATAATTGGGGTTGCGATTAACGAGACTCGTACAATCTTTCCTCGAATAGAGAAAATTCGAAATTAGCTATAAAAATAAGCTAAGATAATATCAAACGAGGCGGAACAATTTTTGCACGTATTTTTTCTCGTTGACGACATTATTTGTTCAAAGGCCAAGGATAAATTTAATAGGCGTGCGGTAACGATTACCTCCGCAACCCTATATATTCGTATCGTTATCGTCCTCGAGAACTCGTTAGGAGAATTAGCATCGGCTCTCTTTAAACTCGAACGAAGTTTCGATGGATTATCGGTACACGCATTCGTAGGGGTGGCATTGGGCACTCGCTGTGTTGTCAAGTATTAATACCGTAAATCTCTGAAGGGGGACGATGCGTGTGTGCGATATTACGTATGATGGACGAAGAATCGCGGAAAATCGAGAGAAAAAGAATGACGAATGGACGGAGGGAGAGGGAAAGAGAGGAAACAGGGTGAGACACAGAGGTAGAGAAGCTCCATTGATTGGTCGGTGGCATGGTAGAACGTTGCAGTCGCCCTGGGGGTATATGAACCCCGGTACGGCTCTCTCTCTCTCTCTCTCTCTCTCTCTCTCTCTACTTCTCACTCTTTC